AATCCAATATGGCAACCACATATGCAATTGTTGAAATTCAAAGGTTAATCATATGGAAAAGCATACATCCGAATATATATTTCCTTTTTGTATCTTCATTTTGTTTCCTTATTCGCTAATTAATTTGCTGTTGTGTAAACTTTTGGGCAATTATTCTTAATTGTGGTCTGCTAATGGTGAAGTGTAAACATGGTATTAACTTAAATTTTGTTAAAATTTTCATTTTGTTGAAATATATGGACTCTCACTTCCAAGTAAGACTTCGATTTACTTTAAAAAGTAATATTCATTTTAGAAAGTAGTTTTGAAGCGTCGTTGAATTGTAGTGTGCATTTTTAGCAATTACAAAATTTCCATGCAGCTGATTCATAACTAATGATAATAATATTCCATCAGCATTTATTATTAACTTTCAGTAACAATTAAATTATTTCTTATCTTTTTAACTGAATGACTATAAAACTATAATATATTTTAGAAATGCATGAAATCAATTCAAATTCCTTTAGATAAAATACATAACTTCCTGCAACTTCTTTATAGTTGTTCTTAATACTTAATACCTGCCATTATACAATTTATAATTAAAACTAATGTCAGTTCGTATGAAAACAGTTACTTAAGTAGTTTTTTAAATTTAACTTGTATTACTTCCATAACAATTACTTTCTCGTACTCGTACCTTCAGTTTGGCTATTAACTCATAGAACTAGTAAAATGCTGTTGCCTCACGACGCCGAAGTACCTTGTCAAAGTTATGAAACTTTATAAAAGTTTGAGCAGAAATGAAAGAAGAACAAAAATATATATAAAGTTTATGCCTTTATATGAATATGGTACTGCCACTGCCAGTGTCAGTGGCACTATTGCTACTACTACTCTACTACTACTTCCTCTTCTCCATACAAATCCAATCCCACAGATGCACAGACTGTCTGTTATTCTGGTAACTTTATGTCACACATAAATTTCCTACAATTTCAATCGTCTTACCATAAACTACAGATCCATTTTTTTCTTCTTGTTTTTACGACTTTTTATTACCTGCTTTATTTTGCATGTTAGAAGTTATTACGTGGCTGAGTGGACTTTTTGTATAAATTCTACCTTCTGATGAGTTTTTTAGTTAGGATTTTCATTCAGCATAGTACCTGAAAGTATCTAAAAGTTACTGTATTTGAGTAGACTTACGGTGGTAACTGCCATTGGCAATAATCAATATGCGATGTTCTTTAGCAATTGTGCAGGCACAGACTTTCTAATCCACAAATTGAATTGTATTCATTCATTTCATTTTAACACCGAATCGTATTAAACAAAAGATACTTTTATAAACTTAATTACATATAAATATTGCAGTCAAGTAAATAGTTTTTGGTCGTAAAGTAATTTCTAGTGAATAGAATGAATCGTTATTTTACTCTTAGAGATATAATTAAGACTATTCTGTTTCTTTTTGTTTTTTGTTTTTTATTTTTTTATAAAAATAAACTTTTAGTGATAGTTTCATTGACATTTTTAATTATTTTCTCCAATTGTTTAATCCTCTTAGTTTTTTTTTGTAAATGTTAACTAATTAACTTTGTTGTATCTTATACAAATACTGTATATGAGTTGTTAAAGAAAACCAGTAGTATCCATTGACATGGAGAAAATTAATTTCTATATCGAGATTACCTATATCACTCTCATATAAATTTCAAAAGAATTACTAACCAGTTAAACATAGTCTTTAGTAGGTATATTTTGAGTATTACGAGAATCTGAACGCAATATAGTTATAATGCTTATAAGGCATATAGTTGCTTCGACCCATAAATTGTTTATTAATTATCTGCAGTTAGACATTTCTAAATATACTTGCATTTCATATAACCTTCTTAATATTATGCAAAATGCTTCTGTATTGGTCGCAATAGAGTTAGAAACCGTTTCCGGCAGATGTCGAAGACCACGGCTTGGATTCGGGCAATTTTTAACATTTACTATATTATATTTTATAATATGTGAATAATTTATACCATCTAAAGTTATGCGGTTAGGTTTATCTCTTCATATGTATGTGCATAAAAAAATATAATACCACCAATTTATTATAAATATGTACACCTGCAAGTAAATATATTGTTTTACAAATTCAGTATATAGACATTATATATACATCAGTTCAGTATAAACATTATTTAAGCCATTAGAGTAAACCTTTATTATAATTATATTTAATGTAAAATAAATTTAACATTTAGACGTGTCCAGTATCTTGGTACTATCCATTAAATTTCCATTATAAGTAAAATAAAATCATTTAAAAATTTTTTTTTTGATATGATTTATATCTTTTATCGTTTTTCATATTTTTTTATTTATGTCGTACATTTTCAAATTTAATGTTTTTATATTTGCACAAACCACAAATTAAACTAATATAAATCTCAATTATTCACTGAAGGGGCAAATATTATATACTGAAGCTCTATTTTTGTACTCAACTAAAAACAATAAAAAAATATAAATTTATTCTGAAGATAGAAAAACTTAAAAACAATAGTGCAGCAGTTGGAATAGTGCGCAGTGTTGTAGGTTAAACAATTTTTTGAAGGGTTTAAAACAGTGTTTTTGAAGAATGTAATATATGGAGATTTCATTGTTATATAGTCTTTAAGTTTGTACATTTTATAGTCTATATAAAATGAATAACTTAGGTTAGGTTAGGTTATATCGGCGATGTCAAGGGGATCCATTTAGGTCTATAGGACCATTGTGGTACCGTATTATTAAAAACTCAAGGGTTAAAACCATCTAGAACCTTTGACAAAGCTTATAATGCTATTCAAAGGAAGGCCCTAAAGTAAGTGAATAACTTAAAAAATTTATAATTCAATCTGTTTTATATGAAATATGTCTCCGAAATCTTTGCGTATAAACAAGATCCATTACCTTCCCTTAAAATTGGGCTTGTAGCCCATAGTGGAACTACAGCAAATCCGGTTCAGCAAGTAAAATACACACTCGATCTGTAATGTTAGTTTGGTGTTAGTAGTGAGGAATGAGAAATAATGTTGGTATTTGAGATGGATTGGGAAATATAAGATTGGTATAAAGTGTTGGAAAAGAATAAAGACGGAGAAACTTAAACTATTTAGCACTAATTTACTAAAGTTTTGCTTTTTTAGTTAGATGTTAGACAGTATAAGCAAATTATCTCGAATCGATTTAGTGATATTCTTCTGTCAAACTCTTGAGGTTTATTAACGGTGGTTCATTAAAGGTAGTGTGACAGCGGTTATGTTTAAATCCTAAATTTGTGGGAGTAAAATGACAGTATTCGATGACTCTCATTCGATGTGGAGTTGGATGTAACAGCTGAAACCCAAAGAACAGCAAGTGGGTGCTATTTAGATTTCGCTCCTTGTCAAATAATAGTTATATTCAAATATAGTACTTTAGTCAGTCATTCTAATGGTTTGTTTATCGGCAGATTATGTTGATACGTGTGCTAAGAACACCGAAGTGTTTTGTCTACATACCAGGTAACCTCTAAGAACAACGTTCGATTTATGAGTCTAAGGTCACAACTTATTGACAATTCTATGTTCAATATTTTCAATTCACAAAAGACCTCTATTTAAGTAATGTAATGTCATAATGAAAAAGTTGTGCATTCTCGTATAGAGTAGATTTTATATTGATGATAATTGTTTTAAATACAATTATTTATTTTTTAAATAGGTGAATTCTGGAACTGACCATACAGCTTTTTCGAATATTCATATCTTTGAAGATATTTGAAGGTTTAATAGACCGTTTATTATTTATGGAATTCAAGCTAGAAATTGAATTTTGAGAATTCCTAGATATAACTTTACATAACAATAACTATTTTTAATACTTTCATTGAGTTCAAATTGACCTATACAGAGCTTTCTTTGACATGTTGCTATCGATATGGAGGTTTTAAGTTTATGTTGGTGAGTAATATGTAATATACTTTATTAGTTGTATCCATTTCATATATTCATATCAATAGATTTGCATTTTTTTTATTAGATTGTCGGGTTCATATACTGTTATCACTTCAAGGCATATATTTACTAATAGAAATCTGTTGCCATCAGTAATATTAATGTTTCTCATAAAACTGCTGCTGATATTTTCATTTTTTGCATTCCAATCTCAAGTACTTTGCTTTTACCACAGTTACTCTAAGGGGGATAACTCTATGTAGCCTTTTTAAATTTAAATTTATCTCATGTACCGCTCTGGGAAGCAACAGCAGGAAAATGTTTGAAATTTGCAAACTCCCATAACCGTCAACATTTTCATGTTGTAATTTTGCCGATTGCTTGCTTTCCACTGAATCGATTAAGTGCTTCGGTTCAGTGACATGGAAAAATTTGTAGAAAAGCAGTTTGTAGAAAGTCCAAAAAATGTATATGGAATCCTTTACATTCTATTCCGTAAAGCATTATTTTTCCTCTTTTTTTTTTTAGTTTGTTATGCTTTTGTTTTCATCTCAAACACTATCTATGCAAAAATCGAATTATGTATCTATTAGTCTGCTGAATTTATTCCAAAATATGCATTTTGCCAGCTTTGTGCTGTCTTTGCTTCTGAACTAAGAATTTAAAAATATAACGTCAGTCTGTCTAATATTTGTTAAAATAAAATTATAAAAAAATATGCGCAAAGTGAACTCTGCACTTGTCTGACTGATTTATCGTAGCATGGTGCAAAAATATTTTTATTCTCAGATTATACCAAATGCG